GCATGGAGTGTGACACAAGTACATGTGTCTATCCGTCCTTGGGCATGTCTATGGGCGACACGTGTGTAGTGTAAATGTAATCAACAACGTAATTTATCAGTGATGGCAGAGCAGAGCAGCCCACAGCCTTATCCCACCTAGCACCCACCAGGGGATTCCTGTGACAGTGAATCTGTGAAAGCACCTCCCTAAAGTAGAATACAGTCATCATTAATACTTCCAACTTTAATGCCATGACATGTGAGGATATTGTTGGTCAGAACCATCTATAGCTACATTAATGATACATTCAATCATCAGCTACTTTGAATTATGCATTCAAGTTAGACAGAAACTGGAACACAAGCTGAAAGGAGACATACACATTTGTAATCCTTCATGTAAAAAAACCATACATTCAACATGTGATTGATGCACACACTGTCTGAAAGAGCTTATTACAGTCACTGTTAAGAGTGCATTTGGCACATGTGTGTGTGGACTGTTCTTAAAGAGGAGAAATCCCTTTATTAATGGATGGAAACGAGGGTAACACTGTACTTGAAGTGTTCTGTAATCACATAACAGTTTTTAACTTGAATGTGTATAAAATAGAATACTGTACAGGACTGTATGGATCAGAACATCACAGCCGGAAGCAGCAAGGCGAAAGAGAACTGTCCCAGAAAGGGCTCGGTGTTTATCAAGTATTAGGTTTTGAAGACTGGTGGTGCAATTACACTGTCAGAGTCTGTGACGATAAAACAAGCTGAAATAAAACACACTGTTTTTTGTTTTTTTAAGATGTATTCATTTCATCATTAAAACTTCTATTCTGCCAAACTGCCTAACTTTACAGGTGCTCCGACAGAAGGAGAGCATCGCATCAGCCCGAAGGAGACCACAACGGCAACTTGTAACTGTCTGAAGGTAGCATCGACTGTACCTTACTGAAGTGTTCAGTGAGCGTGTTATGTCGCTGCTCACTGGACCACAGCCAACACTGCACTGGAGAGTGAGCACTGTGCTCCAGTCATAGCACACATGACAAGAAATCACAGAGGAGCACTTTGCAGGGGGTTCTTCAATCGGCGCCGAACTCTGACTGGAACGTCTTCATCCTGTTAAAAGATTTTTTTACATGTAACTTTTTATTTTTCTAATTTTTAAGTGTTTTGGAGGTCCAAACAAGCCAAATATTGACAAAGTTCATGTAAAGCTTGGTTTAATACACACAGTTTCAGCAGTATCTGCCGTCTCTTCCTCCTCCTCCTCCTCCTCTGTGTGCTCACTACCGGGGGTGAACGCCTCATAGTCAGACAGTGCACTTTCCACCGCCTCTTCATCGTAGTCTGTCTGGTACTCATCAGAGAGTTCCTCTAGGCGGACAAAATCAGAGATGGCAGGAGAACCTTTCATTGATCAGGCTTTTAAATGAAGAGCAGATAAAAAGAAGCTAAAATAATAAATTATAGTATGGATTGTAATATGCGTTGTTCATGTAAGAAATCAGATTTCTAGTTTAGATTTTACTAACCTTCGATTAAAGCATTCTTGACGGGTTCAATTCTTGACACAATCTCTGCCAGGTCAGTGAAGGAGGCATTTGGACATGTGACCACCTGAAAGACAGAACTCATCATTCCAGCGAAGACTTTAAGACCACCTTCACTGGATTCATACTGTCTGTGACTGCAGACTGTAGTACTCGACAGCCAAACACCAAAACAAATAATATAAGCAAATAAACATTCACTTTAGTCTATAGATACACTAAAATATAATTATGAGCAATTTAAAAATAAATGCATATGTAAATAAATATACACAAATAGAAAATTAAATAGTAATGCTGAATAAAACACTATAAATAATTAATGAGCTATGAACAGTGAATAAAATAATGCAGTAGAACAATATAACAACTCAGATCCAGAGTTTTAAAGATGACACGCAGCTCAGGGCTTAAAGGATTAAAGACCTTTAAAGTTTTTTATTTTGTCCCTCTGCTGGAGCCAAACAACAAAGTGCTTCAAAAAGTGCTCAAACTGAGTTTCTAAAAGTTTCTGAAAGAGAGAAACTGTTTTACTTTAGCCACATGATTTGGTGATTAACAAGTAGCTTGAGTGACTGAAGGTTTGAATGTCAACATGAATGGTTGCCTCTCTCCAACGATGGACTATTGACCTGTTAGTCCAACGCAGGCTTTTTACCCTGTGACAGCTGTAACAGGCTCCAGCCCCACTCGTGACTATGGATTGGATAAAGAGTTAAAAAAATGGATGGATGAAGGGAAAAGGATCACCATTAAACCTCTGATATCACAGGTAGGGTTTAACCGTCTCTGAAAACATACGATTAAAATTGCTTTACAGGAGAAAATATTTAACGTCTGTAAATCTGTATGCAGTTAGTTATGATGGACTATTAAACATTACAGTCATAAATGTGGTGAGCTGCTGTTTTATAGTACAGGGCCCTGGTTAGGTTACCTGTGTATCTGACACAAACTTATATAACAAGAGTAAGAATAAGAGTCAAACTTGATAGCAGCTGAACAATCTATTTGTATTGTTATTTACACTCACGTGACCAGTTTTGGTCTTGTGAAACTCCTCCTGATGTCGGTCCTTAAGCATACTGTCCACCACACCGCTGCGCTGCCACACATCAAACAGTGTCTTCCCATGCTGGTGCCCCACCTCCTGCAGATAGTGAACCTCTCAGTGAGTTTGTGGGCCAGCAGATTAAATAGAATTAAATAAAACATGGAGGAAGAGAGGAGAAGCTCACAGCAATCTCATCGAACTTGCCAAACTCCAGTGTGCCGTAGCGGTCGATAGGTGGTCGGATGTACTCGCAGTAGTCGCTGTCTTTGACCAGCTCCAGCTGGCGCACGCAGCAAACGTAAGCAAGCCGTGTTTGGATCTCTGCCATGTTCAGGACCTGGAGGGAAAGTATGTTCAGTCTGACAGGGCTATGATGGCAGAACAAAGAGTGTTTAGTGGGCGTCATTCTGCCCACAGTTGACGTCAGGCTGTGGTAAAATCAAAGCACCTTGACTTTCTCAGCCAGTGGATTGAACCTCTTCCACAGTAACCACCAGCCATTCAGATAATCACCGTAGTTGGTCAGATTGGTCTCATCTCGACTTCCAACATCGATTGCGATCACAACCTTGGCACCCATGGAGCGAGCCACGTCAGCTAGATATCATGAGAGACACATTCTGATAACCAGTTTCCTCTTTCAGCTAATAAATATAGTCAAAAATGTTTGTTTCTATTCTTCTTTGTGTATCTGCCAATCATGTACGCCCACTGATAAGCTAATATTACTTTCTTTGGCTTTGCACATCTCTGCAGTTTGCAGATAAGCATGCTGTCTCACGACACCCCACTTTCGTCTTCTTAATATCTGTTGTTAAACGGTGGTCTGCATCTGCTTGCATCATAGCCATATTTTAATGACTGCTTATATATTCTGAATGACCATCCTCACTATGAAATAAGCACTTTTAGCTCTTCTCTCTCGAAGTCAGCTTTCTTCCAATCAGCTGTTGTTCATAAAAGGAAGACAGAAGAGGCATCAGAGGCATCATACAGATCTAACAATATGATAAAAGTGGTTTACAGAAATCATATGCTGATCTCATTATTAGAAAGTTTGGTCATGTTTACTATGAATGTAAATTAAGTCATTCAAGATGTTGTTTTTTGGGGAGGGGGCTTGATAAAGCTCATAGTTAAGGGTAGATCAGGTGACCTTTAATCCTTCCTTATGGATTCAAGGTTATGCTGCAACAGGTTTGGGCTGCTAGGGGCTTCCCATGATGCACAGAGGGCTTCTTCTTCTCTCACTGTTTTTCCCCTCACTATGTGTTTACACATCACTTTGCATTTAATTGTTAGTTATTAATAATCTCTGGCTCTCCCCCACAGAGTGTCTTTTGTCCTGTCTCCCTCCTCTCACTCCCAACTGGTCTGACTGATGCCCGCCCCTCCCCGAGCCTAATGTTCTGATGTGAGGTTTCTTCCTGTTGAAAAGGGAGTTTTTCCTTCCCACTGTCACCAAGTGCTTGCTCATAGAGACTGTCTGACTTTAAGGGTTTTCTCTGTCATTATTAGTGTGGATCCTTTACCTTACAAATACAGAGGACCTTGACATAACTATTCTTGTGAGTCAAACAGCGATCACCCCAGTTTACTTCAACTCGTACACAGCACGAGTAGAAAAGCTTACTACCCTCTCAGTGTTTCTCACCAGGTAGGTTGTTGATGTAACCTCCATCCATGAGCAGATGTCCATCTTTGGGATCACAGAGCGGTGGCAGGTAACCTGACAGAGACATGCTGGCCCGGACATACCGCCACAACGAACCTAATCATGTAGGACAATTGTGTGTGAAAACACTGTCCACAAATTAATGATTAGGTTAAGTACAAAACATCTCACAATTAAATTAATATTTTCCCTTCTTTTTCCTCAGCTCCTTCTTAAAGAGCTGAGGAAAGAGTGGAGCTCCTTAAATGGTCAGAGTGCTTCTAGTACTAGAGGAAAAACGAGGTTTCCCACACCGTCAGTATGAACTCTCATAGCGGAAGCTGTGATATCTGTTGTAATGTTGAAATACGGTAACCACAGGTCCTGGCAGTGGAGGGGTTGGAAACAGAAAAAAAAAACATAACACAGAAAGGCATGTGAGCTGTGACTTTGCAAGAAATGTGTTACATGCACATGATGCAAGCTGCTGGTGTTTGAAACGCTCCTCTCCTTACCTCTATCTGTTTGTTCTTGAAGACTGAGCTAATGCTGGAGTTGAAGGAGGCTCCAGAAAACATGGAGGTAACTGGGTATGTCAGATCCAAGATCTTCTTAAAGTATGAAGTCATACCCTGAAGAAGAAAGTTTTAAAAAAGGGAAGTGAAGAAAAACACACCATGGTTGATAAAGAACAATTCAGCTTTTCACTTGAGTCTAAAGAAATCTGGAAGTGAAACTAGTGAATCTTCAGGGAGGTGAAACTCTTTAAAAATATCAGTGCAGGTGTCAGCAGAGTGTGTCATCCACACACCATGGCCCACTCGTGTGCCCGGACCCTCATTCGACTGATGCTCTTCTCCTCAGCATACAGTGCTCCCATGAACGAGCCAATGGAGGTGCCACCCACCATGTCCACAGGGATCCCCGCCTCGTTGAGTGCCCGCAGGATGCCCACCTGAGAGCAGCCTCTGAAACACATTCATTTAGACGATTTCTTTTCCTTTTCAGACCAATATACCAATATGTGCACAAGGAGTTCTACCAAAGTCCTGCACGCAGTGACTGAATGTAAAGTCCAAGGAGACAGTGCAGCCTTAAACAATCATATTGCATTTAACAAAATTTATTTATGACTTGAGGCAGGACGTATTATGTGTCACTGCACAATTACATTATCATGTGGATTCTTTTTACTTACTGGTTTAAATGTATCTGCAAATACAGCTTTATTATAAAAAATATTAATGAAACATTAATTGTTAGCTTCTTCTTGGCTAAAGCTAGAATAAAGAAAGTGCTAGGAAACACAATCTACTAATAAAATGTACTATAAATATTCATAATATCTTGCTCAAATAGATATTTTATTTAATTTCATATAAAAAATTTCATATATAAAAATATTTACACTAATAGGTGCAAAATATCGAGTTTTAGCTAATAAAGCAGAAACTGCCTATTCGTGTTGGTGAAGCTACCAAAATAGGACACAGCTGGCAATTTACTGGGCATGTTTAAGTGCTGATATAAAAATATTTCAGATGATTTTAAATGGAGCCAGAAAGATAGCAGTGCTCATCAGTTTTGGCAGGAAGCAACTTAGATAGCTCATTTTTATGTAAGCAAATGTGTTACTTTCAGGCCTTTTTCTTTCATCTCGCATCAGCATCAAGACTGTGTGATTATATATCACAAATGCTTGTTGGTTGTGTCCTACAAATGCTCACAACAACTGCTATGCTTATGTTGAATTAATTTCAATATACAACATATTTTTGTCAGGGTGTTAGCAATACACCGGTGCAAGAATTTGCAAATCATTTAGGAAGAAAAAATAGTTCCCAGGGTTCAGTTGAACTGCCAGTACTGATGCAGTAAAAGTACCAAATGTAACCACAGGTGCTTACATAGATGACACACAGCAAATACCTATGGCTAAGACTGGATCTACAGATTCAATAATAGGTCACATGTAAAAGCATTACTGCTGTAGTCATGTGATCATCGGGTGTCTCAGGTCCCTACCTTGCCAGAGCTCCAGGATAAGCCAGAGCGGTGAAAAAAGAAACAGATTCATCAAGAAAAAAAACAGTCATTACACAACAAGAAAAACACACAAAAAAAGAACTGTTCTGCTTATCTAATATTTCAGTAAGAATAACTCGGGCGTCAGACGTATTCAAATCCTAATGTAGCAGTAACAGTAAGGTTTACCCAAAACTCTGGCGCAGATATTCCCAACCTGAGGAAGGCTCATATGGTAATCAACAAAATATCAATATGGTCTTATGTCCACCTGTAAAAACGTATCAGCACCTTGCTAACCAAATGTCTATATTTTCATTTAGTTATCAGATGAGTTAGGGCAAAAAAAATCAAACTAAGAAAGAAAAACTGAGCAAACTAAATAAATAAATCCACACGTTTGGTATACTGTGATTTTTTTCCTCACTACCTTTCTGTATTCGCCTCTTCTGCTACATCAAACAAACATTTTGGCAGTGTGGACATATGCAATGTGTCCTTCCATGTAGCAGGTGAATTTGTGAGTGAGTGGGGTTTTCTTGTTGAAGTAAGGAGAGTGGGTAGGGGCTGCAAGCAAGAGGTTGAGACCAGCGGCTGGCACTAATTTAGACATTTATATTTCACGGATCTGAGCGCAAAAGTGCAAAACTTCAGTTAGCTGAACAAAGCCTTTTTAAGTGGTTAATCAATAAATATGTTCCCAAGCAGCAGAACTACCTTGCGCCCCCTCCACCTAGCACCAGGGCAATACTGTTTCCGGTCAAGATCCTGGCCAGGCGGGAGAAGTCGGAATGACGATCTGGACATTTTTCAAACACACGCTGGTATAACTCCCTCTGAAAAAAGCATTCACAGACACAGAAAAGAGATGTAGGCATTTGCTAACCAGGTCAGTGGTTAGTGAAGACTCTGTAGTCTGTACCAGCTTGGGTAAACTCCTCCTGGAGAACACCCTGCGGGGGCAACACAGATGATGGTGTCTGGAGATCCAGCTTCGCATGTTGAGCCACTCTGCCGTCCCTCTGGGTGGTGGGCCGTCCTCACTGTGAAGCAGCACGAGTTGCTTCTGGGCTCGGACTGCACTACTCTCCAACATTCGCTCCAACTACACATGCAGAACATGAGCAGAGAGCTTTCACTCAGGTTGTTATGAGTGCAATAAACACCTTTAACGCAGACTTGTATTTAAGTGTCACAAACAGATGTGGTTTCTACAACTTCTATATAGTATCTATGTATCCAGGAGATGTTTCCTAAATAAAGAATTTCCCTCTGATTTTTCTTGAAATTCAACACAAGCATGATCTAAGGAGCTTGAAAAGAAAAGCGAATGAAAAGCTGTTGTAATTGGCTGGCTGTGGAATAGTAACATCTCCTGCAGCTTTAACTCACATTCTTCTCAAACTCTACAAAATAAGGTAATATTTACACTGACCTCGCCCACTGTGGGCTCCTGCTCACCCAGTCCCACAATGATGATGCAGTCAGCCTGGCGGATGCAGCGCTGGGTCCATGGTGTGAGGCTGGGATCAGACTGGTAGAGGACGATGCGATGGATGTCTTCCTGCTGGCCAAGCCAACTGGACAGGCGGTACTCGTGGACACTTGAGGTAGAGATGAGGTAAAAGCATGTCACTTCATTAAAGCTAGATCAACCTATAAAAAACTGCAGAAGTGAATTTCAACTACAGCTGTATTTATTTCCGTGATCTACCTGTCCAGAGCAGCAGAACCCAGGCGCTGTTTTATGTTGTCACTGGTCAGGAGTAAAGTGGGACCTGTAGAAAGACTTGCATTAAGATGTTTAAACTTAACAGTATGCCCCCCTTTTTAATAGCTAATAGCTAATAGTATCCCATATCAGTAATACTGGAATAATCAGTATTACTCCCTTCATCTGTTTTAATGGTGTGTGTGTGTGTGTGTGTGTGTGTGTGTGTGTGTGTGTGTGTGTGTGTGTACCAATGCCACAGAGCGCATGCTGTAGCTCCAGAGTGAATGCAGTGAGTGGAACCTCCTCGGACACAGGCAGGATGGCCACAGTGGACAGGTTGGAGACTGGGTTCCCAGCATCCCACTTGCTGGTAGGCGTGTGGAGACCCAAACTACGAGCTGAAGAGTTTCTGCCATTAGATATTTCACATATGCAATATAATCTTCTGTACATTGTTCATAGTGTTTCCAATATGAATTCCAGGGTTTCAAACGTTCATGCTTCTAGCATGTGACACAGGCTAGCACAATTCTCAGACACACTCACACACTATGCAAACTGATGCCACAGCAAAAAAATTTAATGGTCAAAGCCAATATTCTCCAAAAATTTATATAAAAATTTATAATCAAGACTTAAAACTCCACCCACGACCACCTACACCACGAATTTCTGATGTTTGATAGTTGAAAGTCAAAGAGGAGAAACTACAGAAACAGTAAAAAGATTGATCAGTTCACCTCAGCACTGATTCCTTTGTAACTCTACTGTTTCACCTCTATAGAATAAAAGGATCACTCAGGAAAACTTTGTACTGTTTTACAGTGAGCCTTGTCTAAGTGGACCTAAACCACAAAACACACAAAGTAAAAACAATAAAAGATTACCAGCCAGGGGTCCAGTGACCTGTTGCATGTTGCCCAGAATCTTCTGCCCCAGCAGATGAATCAGCCTAGTGACAACCTGGGGATATCTCCTCTTGATCGAGTTCAGAGCTCCTTCAGGGAGCTTGGCCAGCTCCGAGTCCCTAACAGCATGGACTGTGGTGGCTCGGTTCATGTGGGTCAGGGCCTCAACCTGTTCAATCATGAAAGAGATGTTATGGTACAAAAAATTGTTTTTCCACGTCTTTTGTTTTTTCTAAAACTTTCTCTCAAACTTAAACAGGAGGTCACAATTCAAACAACTCACCACACCAATTAGATCTCCGCGGCCATACTCCCCGGCAAGCTCTTTTTTCCCATCATCCTTTGCAATGACAGAGCGCAGTCGGCCACTGAGGACGATGAAGGTGCTGTCTGACTTGTCTCCCTGTCTAAAAGCAAACAGGCAATCATGTAAGAAAAAAAGTCCTTCAATATAAATCACACATTTATATTTATAAGCTGTGATCATAAAGTTCCCATTTAAAGTTCCCACTTCATAGTCATCTGCTTTTAGTTCTGCTGCTATTCTCGGAGCTGTTATGACACCTTGCATGTGAGAACATCATGGAAATTCATGCTCTATTTCTCAAAATAAAATTCAACTTCATTGGCTGCTTTGTTTACACTGGATGACATTTAGTGCACACTGCAGATGGACAAGTGCAAGTGGACTGAATGGGAATGTGAAGGCAAATTTTTAGGTGTTTTGACTCCATCACAATTAATAATTAAACCTAAAAGTGTTTCCATAAATTAAGGAAGTTTTTTGAATCGAAAGTAATTGCAGTTTATGTTGCCTGCACATTAACAGGTTTAGTAAAAGTACCTGTAGACGGCACGCCCAGCCTCCACAGCCATCCAGTCCAGGGCAAAGTCGATCTGTCTAACAAATGGCGACATCCTCCTCACCACAGTGTGAGCCACATTCAGCACCACCCTGGGCTCCTCGCGCATAATCCTGCAAAGTTTAAAATTAAGATGTATTTGAAGCCTGGCTGTGACACTGAGGCAAGCAAACAGCTGACTGCTTGTGCATGTGCTCGGCCATACTCATAGAAATGGGCCTTGGAAATGGAGAGGTAGGTGCAGTCTCGGTGCGCTCGCACTGTGAAGATGAGGGGTTCCCCTGTGAGGACAGCCAGGTGACCCACCAACTCCCCGGGGTGAGTAACAAAAAGCAGGGTCTCCTCTTCGCGGTCTATCATACGCTGATAGACATGGAGCAGCCCTGAGATGACAAAGGCCACACTCACGTCCTGAAAAACATGCGGAGAAGAAAATGAGGTCATGTGACTTTTCACCAGTCAGTGGCATGAAACCAAAAAGGTGATAGTGCTGGATTTTCCTGCAGTTTCAGCAGCGTGATGCCCATTTGTTTCTGCTGACTCTCCCATGGTTTAAAACATATCCTCTTTAAAACTGAGCAACACATTCTTAAATCAGTATCAGCTGATGTGTTTGATCAGCCCAGTTTTTAATATCCACAAGTACCCTGATTAAACGAGGAACAGTAAACGTCAAGAAAAGAAAGAAAACAGATGTGACAGAGAACCTTTAAGACCTGCATTTGTTTTATTAAACTGAGCTACTGAGACTAATAGCCAGTTAAATGTAAGAATATTACTTTGCTCCAATTACAATAAGCATTGGTAATCCAAAGCAGGCAGAAGAAGAAGAAGAAACAGAAGGAGGCGAAGGAGAAGAAGCACAAGGAGGAGCAAGAGGAGGATGAGGATTCTTGTCCATTGTCATTAAACTGACCTGGTCTCCCTGGTGGCCTACAACAGATCCAGCTTTGACCTGGCGAAGATTCACCCTCCCATCCAGCAGACTGGGGTCCTGACATGTGCAAAAAAACACACAGAGGACAGTCTCAGAAGTAGCCAGGACTCAAATATACAACCACTGTGGGATTAATAGAGTTTATATTTTTGAATTTTACTGTTGCTAAAAACATGATCTCCTCATTTGTTTTCAGTTGACCTTTGGTGTAGTAATGTATCCTTTTCATTGTAAGCTACCTGTAATTGGATGACCTGCAGCAAATCCTTTTTAGCAGCTTGGAAAATGGCATTGACTTTATTATGGTAGACACTTCCTCCTCCTGCATCACTGTAATGGTACACAGCAGATGGAGTTTGCTGCACTGTCACACTCTTCTTTAGAATAGACTGAGGAGGTAAAGACAAAAAAACACAATATGTGTGAGATCCACACTCATTCTAGTAACTGTGTATGTGCATATATGGTGTGATGGGTGCACAGTTGGATGCCCTGTATGCCCAATGTTCAACATAAACCAGCAATTCCCTGATAGTGTAACAAAGATAGTTTCTATCCAGAGACCTTGACAGGACTATGAGGCACCGTCTCCTCTTTGGCACCTGGAACGTATGTACTGTTGAAGTCAGGTGACATTTCCCCTGCAAAACACAAATTGTTTAAAATGTTGATAGAACAGTAGCAGTATAATGTCTTCGTAAGTGAATATCAAGCCCTTGTAGAGCAAAATTGAGTATTTTAGTCTAAATAACCCAAAATGTGATGTCCACATATGTGAAGGTCCTACGAGGTTAAGCCACAAGTTTGAACAGAGACTGGTTTAAACCCAAACTGACCGAAACCCAAATTAAGGAGAGCCTTAAAGTATTCTCCTGACTGTATCCTCAGTTAAAGTCAGCAGCACTGTATACAGTATATCATCATCTTGTATTTACCTGTATTTGTATTATCTATCTATCTATCGATCAATTGATAGATATGTCTAATATTAACATTTGTTTGATGACCTGAAATGTTTAAATTTGACAAATATGCAAAACAATAAACGCTTATCATGGCACTGTCAAAAAAGCCAACCATTCCCTTACTTTTTTATAAGTATACATATATGTGTGTGTACAGTGACACTGCATGTATGTATACCTGTAACAGTAATCGGGTTGGAGAGGGAGCGGGATCTCTTGGTTTTTAATGTGGATGTGGAAGAGAGGCTGGACTTTTCTGCTACATCAAAAAACAGATAACATCAGCAGCTTTACTTGATGCACATCGCTTACGTCTCATAGTGAACATATTGAGAAAATGCTGTTATTTCTGACCTGTGTCAGCTTTTTCAGAGCCCAGATCATCAGAGTGAGACTGCTGCCTGCGGAAACCTTTGTGTGGATGAGTGTCACACAGAACGTTTGCCACAGACACCAAGGAGATCGCTTGGCTCTCCTGATAAACACAAGTTAATCAACAAAGTCACCTTTTAATACAAGAATTTTCTTAAATGATCTGAAATCTTAAATCAATATTGGTAAGAATCAAACTTAAACTCTGATTTTGAGAAAAACTTTTCAAAAGCCCAAAACCATGTTTCTAATACTACAGATTTAATGGTTAGGCTACCTCTAGGAGTCTGCAGCTGACCAACCAACCTTAAAAGCACCCCTATGTTTTGGATAAAGACATAGGTCTTGGGTAAAAAAATTGAAAAAGTCAAAATTCAAATATTCTGATAGTATTCCCAAAATCTAAACTCTGGTAAGAACTCTAGGTCGGTAACTTAGCAGCCTCGAAGAAAAATCAGGGGTCTCTTGAGATTATGGAGAACAATTGTTATATGCTGATATCATTAGGGTACTTGTCACTATCAATGATAACTCACACCTTGCAGGACAACTAAATATGTGCTCTGAAGAAAACACTTTGAAAAAACAAACATAAAAAGCTTTTGCAACAGAAAAGAATGGCAGAAACAAAGATAAGGCTCACATGACATGAGCAGAAAGCACAAAGTACTTCTGTTAGCAAGATTACTTGGTTAAATGTGTCCTGTGGAATTTTGTCTTTACCAATGGTAGTACTGTACAGTACCAGTCCTACCAAACAACCTGTTTGCGGATTTACTCAGTGTCTTTATATGTAAACACTACTCTCTGTTTTGAGACAGTGTTTTATAACTGGAAAAAATGATGAGTTAATAAAAGAAGGCAACAACACAAGAGTGCAAGGAGAAATTATCCAATCAAAAACAGTTTTGCACTATTCATGTCACAGGTTACAGTCTGGAGTACTGGTAAATGAAAGAGCACTACCGGGTTGAAGAGCTCAGTGGTAAGGCCAAGGTAGTTGTGTAAGGCAAGAAATGTCACTCTCTGAAGCCGCACCATTATGATCTACAGGACAAGAAGGAAAGGTGACAGAGAAAATGTGTTTTTTTTTTTAGCTGTACAGTGTGGATTCAGTTTAATCATCGCCCTGTGCTTTGCTGAATGTTATTTACTCGTGGAGAGCATACATACAGTATTTGCAGCCCAGCTAATAAATAATATGATTCATTTTTTTCTGTGGACACTTTACCTGGATGACACGAACCAGAGTTTCTGGATACTTCTCAAACACTGACTGAAAAGCTGCAGCTGGAAGACGCAGGACAGCTGAGGGAACTGCAGCTCTCGCAGATACTGTCTTATAAGGTGCTGGGTAACCCTGAAAATTAAATGATGCAGATCAGAGGAGATGTTTCGCAGTAAAATGCTTTATGAAACCAAGAAATTGCTAATACAGAAAATGCAAAAAGAATTCCTCAATTAGCAGTGCAGTGAGAGATATATGAAGAGAGAGAGGGACCGCACACATACAGTGATGATGTCCAGGATGCTGAGCAAACTGTGAACGCTGTCTCCAGGTAACACCTCCTTCACTACAGCATCAGTGCCATCCTGCAGTAATAAACACAGTGAGAACAGAACATCAGAACAGAAAAACAGCACACAAGAACCGAGCCAGTCACATAGATCAAGACATCCTGGTGAAGCTGAGCAACAGAATGGGGAAGGAAGGTGATTTAAATAACTTGGAACATGGCATGGTTGTTGGTGATAATGGGCTGGTCTGACGATTTCAGAAACTGCTGATCTACTGGTACTTTCCAGCACAACCATCCCTAGGCTTTACAAAGAGAGAAAGAGAATATTCCATTCAATTGAGGTCCTTTTTTTTTTCAAGCTGGCATGATAAATCATTTTGACCTAACAGAAAGAACAGCTCATTTAACGGTATGAAGCTGCACGGGTGCTTACACTCTCGTGGATGCACAGCTCCAAGCGGCCATCTTGAACCACGTAAATGCTGTCATCAGTGTCACCGGGTCGGAAGAGTCCCTCTCCTTGGTGCAGCTGGATCAGCACCATGTGACGACACAGCTCCAAAAACAGAGGTTTCTCAAAGTGCCCGAGCACCCTGTGTGTGCACGGCATAGTTCTGTTACTGCTAGCTGGGATAATCATGCTACATATCAAAGAATGAATATGCCTAATACTGATTGTGAAACCACAGATGAATCCTTACAATGACCTAGTCATTCTTTTCTGGTTTACAGATAACACTAAGTTGCATTTGAAGGTCCCCAAGACGGAATTGCATGGACACCAGGCTCACCCATTGAAATATAAATATAAAAATTGAGTGAATTATTCAAATTATTAATTTGACATTAACACTCATTAGCACTCTGTGAATCACTTTACTTTATGAGTTTGGTGCTGAATGAGGACCATTATGTATCAAGAGTACTGACCTGACATTTTTCAGCATGTACAGCACTTCAGAGGGTAAATGGGAGTTCTGCACGTCAAACTCAGTGAGGTCAGCCTCCAGCAGGCAGGGAGGAGGCTCCTTGGGCTGCAGGGTCGGGGGCTCCCTACGAATGCGCAGGATCCTAAAACAGACACACTCATCACACTTTGTTGCTGTTTTGCTTTTTTTTACACTATGTTTCTTCTTCTGTTTATACAGGGGCTCACTTGCGAGCTATAGAAAGAACTTTAGTCCTCTTCCTCACTCGCTGCCGCACAGCTGAGTTTGAGTTGGAAGCAGGCACCGAGGAAAGTGTCTGAACCTGCAACAGCAAGAAAGAGAAACATGATGCTACACAGAAGGCATTCTGATGATAATACACGTACCAGTATAGATAGATATAGATACTGTAAGGTATATGATTCTCTCTATCAGCCATGCCTAATGACAAGGCTGTTAGCACCAGCTAAATTCCAGCACACTAATGTCTTTGTGATTTGTCATCACTAATCTGTCTGGACAGCATTCAGTTAAGATGACCATACACTGCAGTCACAAAGGAAAAATCAACGACCATATCTTCCAGGTGGTATCGTGTAACCACTAACCATCCCTTTGTTATAACCTCCTATGATGCAATGTTAAAAAGTTTAGCTAAAAATACTCAAGTTAGAAGGTTGTTAGAAATTTTTTTTAAAGGTTTTGCCAATGAACTGGAAGTGCATTCAGCATTTATAAGCCATTATTGCTTGTCACTGACTTTTGTCTTCTCTCTCTTGTAGTTTGTGTTTGCTTCTCTTTTCTCCCTCCTTCTTCCCTCTCATCCCCCAACGGGATTGTAGGAAACTGGAATTTTTCCTAGCAAGGTTTTGCCAAAGTGGCAACTTCCAAGCTAAAGAAATAAATAAAACTGATGCAAAAGTGCCAAAAACTACAGTTCCTAAACTAAGGCCACCTTCAAAAGAAATTAATTCCCATGGACAGTTTAAAAGATGTACACAGCTTCCAGGTGTGAAAAGTAAAGCTTTAAGACTGCATTATTTTTAAAGGCCTCAGTAATTGTGGCTGCAAAAACACTTCTGGTCCTAAAGAAAGATGTGGAAAAATACTTCTTTTTCCAACCGCGTTTATGGTGTCAGTGGCTCATTTTGGGTCACAATGAGTGAAACATCAAGTAAACTCAGTGCCAGAAGGACAGTTATCCAGGAAATGCTCAGGACAAGTCATTATCAAATGAGTGGGTGGATCCACAGTCAGATCTGCCGCTCACTAATTACATTAACCCTATAAGACCTACCATAGAACCAAGTCCACCAGAGCTTATCTTTATATTTTTACATGCTGTAGAGCCATTTTTGGGAGCATTTCAAGTTGCTATACATCAATACAACCGTTATAGCCCAAATTTTAATAATATGTATGCATTAAGTCTATAGTAACTACATAAATTGCAAAAAAGTGCAATAAAGTACAAAAAAAATTGAAAATCGTTTTTGTTTTTTTCCCCATATATTTCTAGTTAGAGAAATTTAAGAGGTTTATCCCTCAAAACTGTAAATACAAAAAAGTTACACAAAATAGTTTCCCATCACAGGAAATTTATTTTGAGTGTCTTCATAGTTTTATTTTTGAGATAGACCAATTTTTATATACTGTAAAGTATATTTTGCAAAGCTATATGTGGAAGGAAACCGTGACCTAGGGCAAGCTGATGGCATAAGATGTAAGTACAACTACTACAGTTTCATATGCCAAAAAAATCATTGTGCTAACTGGTTCTATGTGGATTTAAAAATAGTTACGCAAAACGGAGCGGACACGCTCCGACCGGTTTTAAAGGGTTAAATTTCAAGACAGCAAGATGGTGACAGCAAAAACTGTTACTCCCAGGATTCAAAACTGAATATGACAAACCAATGGATGATTGGTTGACTATACTGTCTGTTCTCCTGTCTATGACTATTCCCCATAAACCCTTGTGTTAAAATGCTTTAGTAACTAGCAGAGCCTGAGTCACTGAACTGAACATCTTGACTCTGTTTGTCTTGTTGGTGCCTACAGACGACTCAGCAAGTTTGTGCTTCAGTTTCAGTGGGTGAACTTCGGGTATTTTTGGAATACACATGTTAGCTGATAAGTTAGTGCTCCACACTCTTGTACAATTACAGTCACTTTTAGCTCTGAAAAGCCTCACACTATGGTGGCCAAAACACTAATGGTGAGGCCTTGAAATACCTTGAAATGCAGAGTCCTGAATTGGGTAAGTAACATAATGGTGGCTATGTCCATCTTTTATATACAGTCTATGGTTTTGCCCAAGGTCTCTTCTGTTTCACTAAATGATTGCTTATAAGAGATTGAGGTTCTCTGTAACTTGTACAGCATATACATGACGTTAAGGTTTTGTTTTTCTCTGTAAAATTTTCTATTTTTTTAAGTATCATCAATTACTCAAAAAATGCTCAGTGCAACCTCAGCTAACATTTGTCACTCAGTAAAGACTTCTGCAAACTATTAGTGATCATGCAGTGAAGTATATAAAAATAGCATTCAAATGAGTCATCAAGATTCCTGAATAAGTTTGTTTCTTGCCATCATCTTTAGCTTGATTAATAAAAGGAAAACAAAATAAGATAACAGACAACAAAGACTGTGGACACATGGTTTATAAAACACACACAACAGAAGGGTGCCTGCTGGGGGTGATGGTGCCCTCAAAGTGTGCATCAGGAAATAACTTACCTTTCTCATGATCTTTCGGCCGTAGAACATCACTTTGTCTCGCTTCCTAAAACGGTAGTGGGGGACCCCAGCCTCCTCCTCTAAAAGAACCACAAAACCTCTGTAAGATCTGTCTGCGCTCAGCACAGAGCAGGAAATCTAACTCTGCAATGTAACTGTTGAATTATAAAACACTACTCCTTCAATAAGCACTGTCCAATAGTCTCAGGCTATCTGCTAAAGGTCACCTTACTGTCACATTTTTACTGCAACTCTGTTATTACTAAGTTATTTATGTATTTTAAATCAGGGCTGAAGACATACCATCATTGACTTGAATTACATTAACTTATGGACAGTTTGTCCACCTCTTTGTTTCAGTTGCACCTGTTTAATGTAACTAACCAAGACAGAAATAGTAGTACAAATAGTATTTAGTATCTAATAGTTTACATTCAAAACATTTTATAAGCTATTTTTGCATTTAAACCTCACCCTGCAGTAATACTTTAACAACAAACATCAGCTAAAACAGTTATATCAATGGTAGACCAGAAAACTCTTATACTTAAACTATAAGGTTTATGACTCTGAGCTCTGCAACGTGTTCATCACTGAATGTTTTTAGATACACTGAAACAGCATGGGTTTGGGGTGTGCAGCCTGCAGAGAACTGACTTGATAGTTTGTATCGTCTGTAAAGGAGGAACACAACAACTCCAACGACAGACATCACCATCACTGCTCCGATCAGTACAGCTGTCCACTGGAAGAAATTTAAAAAAAAACAGCATACCCAACATCAAAACACTTTCACTTGCACATTTGTGTACCTAAAAAAGTAAAAGCTAAAACACATTTTAAAAGTACTCCTTGTATATTCAAACCTTCAACTAAGGCTGTCAACAGAGTATTTAAAAAGCTTGCCTGTGTTGTAATGAGAAAATAAACAGCTTAAGTTAAAATAGGACCAAACCATACTTTCATGCAAGACCAACTTTTACCACAAGATGGTGCTGCTCCTTGTCAAACCCCACTGTGCAAGCGCCTGCTAGTCTGTCCTGAACTGGAAGTCCCACAGGACCTTAGCTCCACCGTTCTCAACCACCTTTAGTGGTGTCCCCCATCTGGACTTGGGGACTTCTTGTCCATATGTGGTACAGATGTTCCAGATTTTAGCCAACTGGTTGTGCCTCGGTGTTTGCGGTCTCAGCTTGCACCTTGCATCCTGCTGCTCTGTGTTGATCAGTTCCATGGCACCTTTGCAGTCTAGAACCTGTCAGCTGTGATAGAGTCCTGTCTCCATTGATCTGATGCTTAGTGCCTGTTCTTGTGCTGCCATGACAAAAAACCTCTATCCTTTTCTTTAGTCCCCCCATTTCTGGCCACTGGTAGGATTTCTTGATGTCTGCCACTTCCTCTCTCTGTCAATGGAACATCCCATGCAAAGGGATGTATTCGCAGATGCTTCGTGTTTCATCTTGGATTGTGGCTCTGACACTCCTTAACCCTCACCCTCCCTCTTTCTGTTGCTCATAGAGCCTTAGGGCGTTAGAATACATGTGAAGACCTCGGTGGCATCTATCTCCTCCTGTGACCAGCTTATTATTCCAGCTGGGTATCTAATGACCGACAGGGTGCATGCATTGGCTTGGATCTTTTTCTACCATTCAACTGGCTTCTTATCACCTGATAGTTATAGATCTCTCTATCAACAGATCACTACATCAATCTACAGATGTATATATCTATGTATTGAAGGATCAATAGGTTGTAGCTTTTGTCTGTTAAACAGAATATTTGTCAGGCTAAATACTGCATTTTCTTATTACATGGGTGGACAATTTCCACTAGCAGGGGTGGTCTTTTACCAGAAAGTAAAACACCACCCCTGCTGGTGGAAATTCTTCTAAATTTAACTTATTCTGAATACAATGAGTACCTTTAAAGGAATATAAATAATATTTAAACATACAGTAATAATAGAAAGCATTCACACTTAGTCACTATTTGCATGAATTTACTTAATTCTTTCTTTTGTTTCCTTTCAGTTTTTTGTTATATATCGTTTAGTATATAAAGGCACACAAGCCAACTTCCACTGTTTACCATATTGGCTTCTGTCCGTTCCTCCACAAAAAGTTCCATCGTGGCCTTAAGCCTATCCAGCGGAACCAGCTTATGAAACATCAGAGACAACACAAAGGAAATGAAATAACTCACAGCTGAAGGTGAGCCAGGGTGTGCATTCAGAAAAGAATCAGGGTTGGGAACAGTCAAGACAAGATTAAAATACAGTCTGTTTTCACACAAAAGATCTTACAGTCTGATAAAGCATTGCACAATATTCTATAATATATTAGTTGTAATTGAGAGCCACAGTGGAAAATATCTGTTAATTTCCAGCTCCGTGTTTTTATTCCTGGGGTCTATTAGACTTATTTTATGTACTCAAAGTTATAATTACCTCCCTGTTCATATTCGTACTGCCGAGTCTATCCAGTCTTTTAAATCACGTCTTAAAACGTATCTTTTTACTTTGGCCTTTGATTCTAACTAGTTGGCTGTTCTAGCTTATTGTGTTGTTACCTATTGTTTGTTGTCCTGTTTTATTGTTTGTTTTAATTGTCTCATGTTTTTACTGACTGTGAAGCACTATGGTCAACACTGTTGTTTTAATATGTGCTATATAAATACATTTTGATTTGATTTGATTTCTTAATTACTCTATGCTGGTCCTTTGTACAGCCCTACAGTTCAACCTCTAAAACAAATTGTTTTAAGTCATCCCCCATTAACTTTCTTCAGACTGAAATTATTTTTTATTTGCTTTCTTGTTTCCATGTAACAACCCCTTAACTTCTTACTCAATGAAAGCAGACTAGGAGTAAGCCTTGAAGCTCTTTTCTGTCATATTTCAGGCCTTCTTATAGAACAAAATGACTTGGTGTGCATCAGATGTTAGTGAGGGTGATCTTTGACTATGTAGTTGCCCTTGGAAAAACTCATAAACTAACATACTGGTAGTCATCAAACCAGAACTTTATTCATATATACTGAGGTGTCAAAACCCTGTCATTAATGTTGTCTTTATGGGGGGAAAGACATAAACGGTTTCTTTTACTGATTACATGTTCTACTACTAGAGCATGTTTGCATGAATCACAGCTCAAAATCATCCTCACCTTATGGTACATCTAATATTTTCTCTTATCTTATGCCCCTTAGTTCTTTTTATCTTCTGACTCAAGTAAGCCATTTGAACACGATGCACCACATGCCAAATCATTCCTACCTGTGGAAATTAAACTCTTTATGGGTCTATCTGTGGGTTTAATCTTTACGACTCCTCTGGGATTATATTCACTTGTAATATCTTGTTTACAATATCTTGTTTACTTCTTTCTTGTACATGCATCACTTACTTTGTAATATTTTATTCAACATTGCTCTTTGAGGGCCTTATTATTTATATAGAAGATTTACATGCTCCATCTTTCATATTTGTATTTTAATTGAGCATCTATAACAAAACTATTTTCTCCTGAGGTTAATAAAGTATTCTGATCTGACTGAGGTGAACAGCTACACTAAGTCTTTATAATGAGGTGCTGCAACTCTGCAGTGTAAATTATCATTCAATTAGCAGAGGGAGTTTTTTTACGTAGCTTTAAGGACATAAGACTTAGACACTGAAGTTTAACAGATGACTTACTGGATTACTGGACTTATTGCAGAGCTCCTCTTCATCATTGTCTTCCATGCCTATTTTAAAAAGAAAGAAAGAAAAGGCCACCCTAAAACAATGTTTGAAAACTTTGCAAAGCCTAACCTTTCATGTGACTCTTTACTCATTAAATTTTTGTTCTCGCCAGCTGATCGAAACGAGGTCACAGAGCAGAAATCTGGGTTAAAGATCACCTCCCGCTCTCACTGACTGTTGGTAACCAGACACTCCCTCCCGCGCTGACACACTGCAACCCTGCCGCATGCGTATCTATATCTGAATTAGTACAAAGCTCGACATGGGGAAAGACAACGTTTTCACGTTGTTTACTAAACTTACTTCTCGCTTATTTGCTTGTCATCATATAAAAGATCCAAATACAACACGGATCATAACGAGGCTGATCCTGGTTGACGGGATTCCAACGTAATATGGAAACAGCTTCTACCTACAGCTCCAACCTTACCTCTAATATCACATTTAACTTTAACTGTAAAGTTGTAATTCTCACTTTTGCATGTGTATATGTGTGTGTAGCTCTGTTCCGTTACCCAAGAGGACAATGGAGTGGAAAAGAAACACTAAACTAGTAGGTCTGCGCTGACAGAGTCCCTCGGTGATAAACCGCAATATACAATCTCTAGCTTACCTTTTTAGACTAAAGTCAAGCAAAGAATGTTGCCATGTACCTTTCTTATGCCAAAGTTTTTACGTTTACGTGCTTTCCAGTTCTTTGGAAAAAACAATCTAAATGTCCTGTCATACCTATCAAAATAAAACTTCTCTTGACAAAAGGCTACAGCAACACCGAATAGAATATACGATTTTTTTTAAAGATGTCGAATGAAAAACAATAGCTTTTATAATAGAAATTATACCCATAATTCATTTGAACACGGACAATTTTTTTAATCTTTTTATATGCTAACATGATTATGAAATATTTAGCTGTGTGGGTTGCATCCTTCGAAGCATGCAGCCCTTGAGCACACAGCTTTTATTTTGAAGGGCTGTTTCTCCACTCATGGTCTCTGCGTAGTTGTCTTAATTGACGTACCTCCAATCACTGGCAGCGAAACAAGCATCTCGTATTTTGATTGGTAGATGGTGCCTAATGTCGTCCAATCACCAAACAGTTTGTTAGATCGTGAAGCAGCTCGATAGCGTTGGGCTGACGGTGTGGTGAAGGTGAGTGAAGTCGAATATTTTATAGATATATAAATATGAATGTAACAATTTCTGAATCTGCAGTTCATCGAAAATTCAAATAATATCCAGAATTTTATCTGAAATTAATTATGAGCTCGAAAGCAGCATTACATTTAGCTATCATTTAAGTTGTTTGCTAGTTAGCAAGCTAACCGGTGAACAAGTTACAGAAATCAGCACTAAAGGTTTCTTACTAAACTGTAATGTAACGCATGTTTTACCCTAATCCTAACCCAGAGTGCAGTCTGAACAGTAAAGAATCACTGTTACCTGACTACCAAGTGAAAAATGAAAGTAATTTTTGTGTATTGATCGTCAATATTCTAACAGGATGTTGTCCATCTTCCCTGGCAGTGTATTTGGCTGTTTCAGGAGGTGGTGTATACCCACTCTTCATTATTAAAATCAACGGTTTTGTTTTTACTCTCTTCTGTCCTGTAGGAAGGCTGTGCCAGCATGGGTGTGTTATCCACGCTGATGAGGGGGCTGGTGCGAGGCGCTGACAGGATGTCTGAGTTCACGAGCAAGCGTGGATCAAGGACTCATAATAAAGGCAGGGGCGCCAGGCCCGCTGGACGGAATCTCCCCAGCTCCAAGTTTCTAGCCATTCGGGCCATGATTCCGGAGTTTGTGGTGCCTCCTTTGGAGGGATTCAAACTCAGACCATATGTCTCATACCGTGCCCCGAAAGGAACTGAACCTCCACTCACAGCACAGAGTCTGTTCAATGAGGTTGTGGCTCCTCAGATCAAACAGGACTTGGAAACAGGCACTTTCAGCAAAGACCAGCTAGTGAAGTATGGATTTGAGCCCACACAGGAGGGGAAGCTCTTCAAGCTCTATCCAAAGAATTTTGTACGTTAATGATGGATTTCCAAAGACTCGCTGATTCACTGGGGACTGAAAGCTGTAGATCAACTGATGAGAGCCCCTTCTAGAAAATCAACTACAACATAAACTGTTCAGGAAAAAGGCCTTGTCTTACAGGTTTTGTTATTTGATGACCTGGAAAAATAAAACAAAAAGCATGACTAATACTGCACAACTGTCAGATATTCATTATAATGGTTTGAGCTCCTGTGTTTTTTTTAAGTTATGAGTCTTCACTGAGGGACTGGTGATCTTGTTCAAGGCTATGCAGACTAGCTACATGTGACATATTTCAAAGTTAAACACAGTGGTAATTATTCTGTTACCACATAATAGTTTGCTTTATTTTTCAGGCCATTAAGTACCTAAAATTGCACTTACCTGTACTCTGTCCACACGACTGGCTAAAAGTGAATCAATCCCCATAGACTCATATTACAATAAACAACATTAAAAAGCATAATTGTAGTCTGGTACAAATAGTTTTGTTCTGTAGGTAGGTTCATTATATCTCTACATTGAGATGAGTAACTTCTAAGGGTGGCCGCTTTAGTTCAGATGTGTACAGATGAAGGAAGCTGTAGCCGATTGCAGTGGGTTAGGGCTCACATGTGCTAACTGGAGTCACTAAACTGAACCGAACCTCTTGAACAGGTTTGTGCAGTATTTTATTTTTTTGTTCTCACTTAATATAAATTTATTACTGATTGTCGCATGTTGTGTGATCTTAACCTGAATATCACCAAAATTAAATCAACTTGATTTAAACCACCAAAATGATATCTTGAAAACTGGATGCTACACTGCTAACAAACAGAATTCTCCCTTCAAGGGGAGAGTCACCTGACAAACAACATGGCCTGTGACCCATTTTTGTGGGTGCATTTCTGATATTTTGTCCTGCTCCTTAACATTAACAATTAGCTGCTATGTTTTTTGATTCAACTTTAGGGATGCAGCTTGCCAAGTGGGCATCTTGACCCTATTTTAGCCCCACAACAACCACCTCACACTACCCTGCAGCTGGTCTGGGCTAAATAAGAAAAAAACCAAACAAAGAACGTGTAGGTGAATGGTTGTATTGCGCTTATAGCTACAGTACACAAGAGTATGAGGATTATAAACTTTTTTTTTTGCTTAAATACAAGTTTATATAAAAAAAATCAGTGTCACTATGAAAATAGAGGGTCTTGCTAATTGCATATAATGTGATAAGTCATTCCAAAGTATAGGAATCTTCATGATAAAAACAGTGACTGGAATAACAGCATGACATGCTCTTGCTGTAGTCAGGCTATACATTTAGATTTCAATAGTGTCAACATTGCTATGACTCCTGTACAGCCTGGTCTGGCATCCAGTCCCAGCGCCACACGTGGAGCATGTGGTCATAGAATGAGCAGCTGGCCAGCAGGCAGGACAGTGAGGGAGCATCCTCATCAGGGTTGAGGGTGGGAACTGGAGCAGGGGAGGTCTGAGGTGCTGCAATTCCCTCTGGGATGTATCGACCAGCATCGTCCTCCAGGGAAGTGTCAAAGCTGGCAGTGGGAGATTCATACTGAATCCTTAAGTGTCCTCGGCTCTCTGCAGGGCTTTCCTTTGGTTCTGTGGCAGGCGGGGAACAGGGGGTATGGTCCTCCAGGGACAGCCTGGACCAGTCTGCTCCATATGCCAAGGAACTGTGGAGGATGTATGAGGTTACGATGGGGCATGCTCCTGCACTGCCCTCTGTAAGTAAACAAACAGTAAGTTATTAAAAAAACCACAGATTTCTCCTGGTAAAAACAACCATTTGTACAATATGTGAGGTCTACTGATGTTTCAGGTAGAGAAGGAAGCCTTTCACCATTCAAAGCTATTTACACTGCCAGCCCCATTCACAGAATCTTTCCTATCAAGTACAAACACCATTTTGGCGTGTTTGGCATCCATCTGTTTCAGACAGTTTTTTTTTTGTGTGTTACACACCCCTTGGCAAACATGGACACGTGTCCATGTTTGATTTGAGAAATTGAGGACACAGAGAATGTCATCAGGAAAGCATTTCGTGAGGCAACAGATTTATAGAGCAGTATGCTCATTTTCCCATACATTATTATAGAGTCAGACTTCTTTTCACGACAAGGAGTGGCTCCCTGCTGGCCATTAGAAAGAATGCAGGTTTAAAATGCTACATGGTTTGCCTTTTCAGGCCTGGACTCTAGTCCATCGTTTTTAAAGAGCCTATAAAAAAAGCAAAAAGGTATATGCTCTGTTGCTTAATTTCTTCAAATTGTGCAGTATCTATAAATAGTAATGATGAGTTCATTAAGCTACCTTTCCGCTCTGAGAAGCTAAAAAGATGGCTAAGATCAATTATAATTAGACAATTGTCAAACAATTCTCATATTTAAGAAGCTAAAACTAGACAGTTCTCTGGAGTCCAAACCAGCTAAACTAGGCAAGAGGCTACAGCCCACGCAGGCTGTCAGTCCAATGGGAGAGACAAAATCACCACATAAAGTGTGAGGTGAAAACTGTGTTTTCACAGGCCTAAAGCTGGTCTAATTCAGAGCGAGCATTTTATTGTTTATCACTTATTCAAACACACCTAGAGCCTGCTGACAGTGAAGGATGTGGAAGTCATTATGCATGCAGGCTGCCAGCAGCAGGTGCTGATGGCTGGGATGCCACTTCAGTCTCCACACTCCACCACCCAATGGAGTCTCACTCAGGGGCTGCCGCATGTTTCGGCCATCCCACAGCAAAACCTGCTCATCGTAACTGTGGAAGGAGAAGTGTGTGAGAGGAGCAACAAGTATACAACTCTTACACAACAACAGCTCAACATCAGGATATTTACCTGCCTGTAGCCAGAATGTGCTCCCGATGAGGGTTGCTGTGAATACTGCACACACCCATCGAGTGCCTTTGAAAGAAAACAACATAAATTTGTGTCTGCACTGTCAAAATGGAATATATACATGAAAACTGATACACTATCAGCCTCACCTTTTACTTATGAAAGTGGGGCTGGAGGGACCGATCCTTAAATCCCAACCTTTCAGTTTACAGTCATCACCACCTGGTGAGAAAACACAACACATGACACAGCACAGGAGAATATTTAGATGGCCGATTTAGAGGCAGCATCAATGTGAGCTCACAAACTACCCGTGTAAGGCACACAAATTGGTGGCACATATGTATGATTTACAGTCAAGATAAAAAAATAAAGTACGCCATATCTGAAATCTAAGGTTTTATATACAAGGACAAAAAAATATCATCTGCTTCTTAGGAGAGGTTACAATTAGGTAAGTACAACATCAGATAAACAACACATGGCATATTACACTGTGTCATTTATTTAACAATAAACCAAAAAGCAGAAGGGATGTGTGAAAAGCCAAGACAATATGCTTCCACAGGAATTAACAGCCTGAGTAGCAGCCAATTAATCATCAGCAATCATCAGCCAGGAGCCGATAATCAAATACTGATTATCGGCTTGACAGTTTTCTGGTCCGGAGCACTCATAAGTGTGTTGCACAAGGCCCAGCAGGAAAGCCGTAAACAATGAACTTAGAGGAGCAATTGTTGCTATTGATTAAACTTGGAAGGGTTATAAGGCCATTTCCAAACAATATGAAATCCATCACTCTACATTGAGAATTATTAGTCACAAGTGGAAAACACTGAAGACAAATACAAATCTTCCAAACAGTGGCGATCCCAGCAAATTGACCCCAAAGTCAGACTGTGCAATGCCGAGTGAAACTCCAAAAAACACTACATTTCAGAATATGTAGGCTTCACTTAGCATGTTAAATGTTAAACTTCTTGATAGTACAATCAGACTGAACAACATTGTCTCATTTGAAAGGGCAAAGAAAACCAAAAACAAATACACACCGCAATATAGCTTAGGTTTATGAAGCTGCATCTGAGCAAACCACAACACTTCAGGAACAATGACTTTTGGACAAGACCAAATTGGAGAGATTTTGCTAGAATGCACAGTACCATATTTGGTGAAGACCAAACATTGCATAGTAGTACAAATACCATCTCATACTGAAGCAGCTTAATAGCATTTGGTCAAGGTGAAACACCAACTCATACCATCTGTCATGGAGCTGTGGTGGTGGAGGGATGATGATTTGAGATTATTTTGCAGGCACAGAACCTGGGAACCTTGATCATGAACTCCTCTGTATACCAAAGAACAGAGGAGTCAAACAGCTAAAACTCAGGACCAAATGCTGTCATACAACAGACGTTGCAATTACCCAAAGAACCTCAACCCAAAGAAACCTGGACTTTAAGACAGCTGTACCCACAAACGTCAATAAACTGCAGTAAAGCTGTAAAGCAGAATGAGGGCAAGATGCATCCACAATAATGTCAGAGACTAATGAAGTCACACAGAAAATTACTACTTCAAGCTACAGTTGCTAAAATTGGTTCTACAATCTTCTGACTCAGGAGGTGCACTTAAGGTTTTACTCACTGCTTCTGGATTTTGGCTTAGTTTCAAATACATAAATAATGGCATGTGTTGCTCATCTGAGGTAGTAATTTTATCATTTTAGAAGCTGAAAAGGATTCATATGTGAAACCTCAGAACTGAAATAGGATGTACTTACTTAATATTTCAACCTGCTATGATGGGTTTCTTGTTCTTACTCAAAAATTCAGTTATTTGGATTTATGCAAATGATACGTAAGATTCTAGAATACGCTTTTCTTTGTTTGCAACAATTAACACATTCATTTTTAAGAGTGACAGGATATATGTTACCAGAGTACACAAGCTGTGTGTCCCAATAAGAGAAGGCAGAGATCCAGGCCTCAAAGTCATGGGCTTTCCACTGAGACAGTGTTGTTAAAGCACCTTCAGCCAGAGAGAGCACGCTGATGCAGCCTGCAGAGTCACTGCACACAATCCGCACGTCACTGCTGCTGACACGACAGGGTGAGGTATTAATATGAATGATATTTGCACAACATGTGACATTGGCTCTTTTATGGAGGTAGTAGCGTCTCCAGTAAGCTGACCTGTCCAGTCTTCCAGTGGACCAGTCTAATGACAGAGCCAGCCGCTCTGCTCCAACCTCCAGACTACTGAGAGACTGCAGACTGTGGCTACCCTCCTACTGGATACACACATTCATGAGTGCACACCACAACATCAACACAAAACAACAAATGAATGCACATTAGAGCTGAGGCATAAAAACAGCAGCCCTCCTGTAGCCTGAATCTAAAATAGCTGCTGCGCCCATGCACTGCAGCTCCAGCTGTCTGTGTCTGTTACACGGCAATCAAGGCCTTAATGCATATGTTAGTGTGCTAAACCTAGTAAATGTTAAATACAGGCAAAATTAATGAAACACCAAAATCATAGACTCGACTGATCTTGGGGCCAATAAATCAGCTGATATTAACCATAAATAAAGCCATATCTACATTTAT